TTATTATTATTATCCATCTTAGCAGAAATACTACTATGAAGTAATATTTTATTGTGGTTGTGCCTTCCATTTCCTCGATAGCTATTAAGGTTGAGCATATTCCATTGTACTTATTGGCCATCTGTAGGTCTCCTTTGTAGAAATGTCATTTCAAATCCTTTGTCCATTTTTTTTTGTTTTTGGTACCAGGGATCAAACTCTGGACCTTGTACTTGTGAGGCAGGTGGTGGAACCACTGAGCTAAATCCCCAGCCCCTTTGTTCATTTTTAATAAGGCCAGTTGTCTTTTTTTCTGTTTTGAGTTAATTTTTGCATGTAATGTAAGGTAGAAATCCACTTAGTTCTTCTTCTGCATGTGGATATTTGGTTACCACAGCACCCCATGAATGGACTGTTCTTTTCCCTTGCAATTGTCTTGGTGCTCTTGTTGAAAATCAGTTAATAAAAAATAAGAAGGGTAGGGGATAGGAAAGAGGGGAATGGAATTAATATGAGAAAATGGAAACAAAGTTTTCGTAAATAGGGAGGGGTGGAGGGGTTCAAGGAAGGGCAGGGGAATAGGGAAAAATAAGAACCAAGATATATCATGTAAAGGTACAAGATCCTAATGGTGAAAGTAACTGTATTGTATACCTAAAATGTACCAATGAACTTAATGGAAGAAAAAAAAGTTTGTTCTTGGACTCTTGAATCTATTCCATTGGCTAAGGTGTTATATATCCTTATCCTTGTCTCATAAGATTATTTGAGCCTTGTAGTAAATTTTAATATCAGGAAATGTGATTTCTCCAAACTTATACTTTTTCAAGATTGTTTTGGCTATTTTGGGTTCCTTGAGCTTCTGTACAAATTCTGGGATCCAGTTGTTAATTTCTGCAAAGAAGACAGGTGGAATTTGATAGGGATTGTATTGATCAATTTGGGAACTATTGCCATGAATGATGTTTTTACATTTATTTAAGTCTTCTCTAATTTCTATGAACAATGTTTTGTAGTTTTCAGAATGTAAGTTTTATATTTCCTCTGTTAAATGTATTCTTGAGCAATTTATTATATTTAATGCTATTATAAATGGAATTGCCTTCTTAAATTCATTTTCAGATTGTTTATTACAAGTATCACAATTTTCTTGTCAACTCTAGAGCTGTGTTAGTCAGCTTTCTGTTGCTGTAACAAACACCCAAGATAACTAAAGTGGAAAAGTTTATTTTTGACTCACAGTTTTGGACCCTCCGGTCCATGAGCAATTGGCCCTTTTGCTTTGGGCTTGCATCAAGCAGCACATCATGGCAGGGAGTCCATGGCACAGCAAAGGTGCTTTCTTCATACCCATGAGGCCAAAGGGAGAAAGAGCAAGAAACCAGGGCCCCACAATCCCCTTTACAGGTGTACCCCTGGTTACTTCCTATCTCCCACAAGACTCTACCTCAAGCTCCCACCACTTCCCAATGGCACCAGGCTAGGGACCAAGACTAACATGTGGGGTTTGGGAAATACCTAAGATCCAAACCATAATAAGCCCTAAACATAACTATTTACAGAGCACCTACTGGGTGAAAGTGCTCTGTCAGTTTGAATGAGAATAAAGAGAAGACTAGGCCCCTAAACTCAAGGAACTTATAAGAAATTGTGCTGTACACATTTCTCCTTTATAATTTATTTTTAAATTACAGGTTGACAAATGAGGGTTGTATATATTTATGGAATGCACAGTGATACTGATTTATGAATATAGTGTGAGATAATTAAATCGACCTGATTAACATATCCATCACCCTTTTGTTTTCAGTGCTAGGGATTACACCCAGGGCCTTGCACCTTCTAGGCAAGCACTCTACTATGGAGTGCCCAGCCCCAGCCCACTATCATTTTTTGTTTTTTGAGTCTTTTGTTTGTTTGTTTGTTTGTTTGTTTTGAGACAGGGTCTCACTATGTAGTTGAGACTGACCTGGAACTCACTATGTAGCCCAGGCTGGTCTCGAACTCACAGTGATCCTCCTGCCTCAGCTTCCTGAGTGCTGAGATTATAGGCGTGCACCACCATACCTGGCTCAGTATCATTTTTTGTAGTGAGAATATTTGAAATTTGCCTTCTTAGCAATTTTAAAATGTATAATACATTATTTAGTATATTTACTATGTTGTGCAACATATATACTCCCCAAATCAAACTTATCCTTCCTATTTGAGACTGTATGCCTTTGACTATCATCTCCACATTCTGTCTATCTCTCAGCCTCTGGTAATTACTATTCTGCGTTCTGTATCTTTTGGTAATGGGGATCGAACTCGGGTCCTTGCACTTGCAAGGCAGGCGGTAGAACCACTGAGCTAAATCCCCAGCCCCTATTTTCTGTGTCTTTGACTTCAACTGTTTTAGATTCTACATATGAGAATATACACAACTTGTGTCAATTTAAAAAATTATTAAAGATATTTTAAAAGGAGAAAAACATTTTTCCATCTCTGAGTTTATGTCTCCAAATTTGGGTGCCACCAACAGATTTTGGCAAGTAAATGAATTCACAAATATCAAATTCATGAACTGTAAGGCTCAACTGTAATTTGTGTTAAGCATGTTGAGCATATGGTGGAAATGGAGAACATTACAATGAGTGAAATAAGACAAGCACAGAAAGACAAACATCTTCACAATTTTTTGGTGGGGGATACTAGGGATTGAACTCTGGTCCTTGAGATTGTGAGGCAGGCAGTGGTGAAACCACTGAGCTAAATCCCCGGCCCTCTTCACAATATTTTGAAGGGATTTAAAATACCTCATCTTAATCGGTCCTTGCTACACCATTCATTCATTTATTCAAAACTATTTATTGAATGACTATTATGTGGAAACACTATAGTAGTTACAGGGAATAAGTGAAGAAGGAAATAAACACAATCCTTATCTTCATGAGTTAGGAAAGCAGATATTAATCACATATAAATTATGAATTGTGGTAAGTACTGTAAAAGAAAAGCATATTAAATAGAGGTAGGACAAATAGCACCATACCCATTTACGGAAGAGAAGACTAAAGTAAATAAGGGCTTAATATTCTAGAGGCAGAGAGCAAAGGATATTATGAGAAAGGTCATGACCTTCAGTTTTAACATTGAGTTGTTTGGTTAGACATAGAATATCTATGTTTTATTTCTCTGCCTTCAAGAAAAAGGAAGTGGAAACATGTTTAGGAGGGATGAAAGTCCCCCTGTTCCAATGGGAGCAGGACACTTTGGCCACCAGTTTGGCTCCTTGTCAGGCTCACGCAGAGAAGCAAACAAGAGTCCCATGGAGGAGGATGAGATGTAGTCCCCATATCCCACATACTGCCCCCTGCTCTACAACAGTGCAGTATTAAACTGATTTCCAGGATTGGAAGATCTAAGCCAAATGGATTCTTTAATATTATTTCTCTTTCTCACAGGTTCCAGCTTCTTTGGTGCTACCCAACCTGCCCTAGCTTTTGTAGAAGATGACCTAGAGCTATAAATAAATTCTCTCACACAAAAAAACTTTAGAGTACTTTTTAAAAATGTCATAGAAAATTGGGAGAGGGCAAAGTAATACATAGAAATTTGAAAACAATTTTATGAATGAATTTTAAAGAGAAAACCTTGAGTTTTACGTATTCTAAAAGGAGAGACAATGTGTTTTTAAACACAGAAGTAAAGGCCTGATATTGATCCAGATGGTCCCTTAATTTCACTGTGACAAGTAGTGACATGGCCAAGCTATAAGCTGCAATGGCAGAGCCTAGACCAGATCAGAGGCCTCCTGATTTTTGTAATAGTCTTCTACCCCTGCATTTCCAGACACTTAACAAGTCCTTGATCAATTTATTAAACATACATGGCACCATAGCTAGAACTAGGAGATGCAAAGGTGAATCTAATAAAATTCCATCTCTCATCGTCTGCTTCTCCTTGAGGATCTATTCCCTCATCCCTGATCTCGAAGACTAGGCTCGATTCTTCTCCTTATATAATATTTTATGCATTTTCTACTGCTACACTTCACATATATTATACTTATGCACTAATATGTCTGTTTATCCCACTAATATTATATCTTGTAGATGATTGCTCCTTGCTACCCCAATGCCCAGCACAGTGCTTGGCACATTTCAGGCTCAAATAAACCTTTATAAATCAATAACAGGTCCAGTCCTCCTTGCCCTGCTTTATTCTGCTGGCACAGATCCACCTGATACGTGACCATATTCCTCCTGGGAGAAAAAAGCATAAAGTGGATACGTTCACACTATGATTAATGGCCACACCAGTGGTAGGGATGAAACAGAACAACATCCATGGGAGTCACGGAGCAACTATTTCCTCTCCCTACACACCTGTGCTAAATCCGTGGAGGTGTGGAATCCACGGAGATGGAGAATCAAGAAAAACAACGAAGTTAGTTTATGCTATAGGTATTTAATAAAATGGGACGGCTGAGGATGTACACTTCGGAAAGCTCCCTTTTGCTTTATTTCATTCATGTATTGCCAATCTTGGGTTGTCTTTTTTCCAAGGATAGGTTGTTTTTGTCTCTTACATGCCTCATTTTGATTTCACCGAGTTAAAGGAAGCACTTAGGAGAATGAAATGCATATTTAAAGCTGAGTTGTTGCACAGCCAGCCCAGAGAGAGCACGAGAGAGGAGCCTTATTAAAACTCATCTATATTCCTTTTCATAAAACATCATCATAAATGGAACTGTAAAACAGAGCCTTGGGAGCCTCAGAAGTTAGCTCAGCCCAGACTACCCACAGGGGACAGGAAGATGGTAGTGGATGGCTTTCTTCTACTCCCAAGGTCCACCGTGTGACCCTAGCAGCATGGGGAGATACAATGTCAATGTCCATTCCAGATTCAGAATAAGAACCATATGCACTTCCAGATAAACAGAAATATTACAGAAATCAAATAAGGACTGATTTGTAAGTAATTTCTTCGTCAAATTTTTTTGGGACAAAAGTATACGCTAGCGTGGATCTACCTACCTGGATAACGTATGTGTCTGTTGGCTTCAGAGATTGGCTAGGTTCACTTTCTCCCCTCATGGACGATCAAACTATAATCAGCCAAGCCCTAAAAGAAATAAGGGTGAGTTTGATGAGAGCATGAGTATATAGAATGTATACACTCATTTTGAAGAAAGGAGATGGAGACCAAAATTCTAACTTCACCACAAAGCCAGATCGGAATTACTCTTCTTAGCTATATCTTGGATATTTTTCCACTCTTTCTCCTTCCAAAGGGTGCAGACAAGCAGAAGTGGACCCAAGTGTCCTACCAGTTCTTCAAAAACAAAATGAAGTACATACAACTGGGCCAAGTTACCAGCACCAAATCTATGTAGCACCAAAGCAGTGAAAGTTTTAGAACTGGATTCACATAAACTCAGATTATCTGATCCTTGATGTAGATGATTTGAGTCTGAATGGCCCACTGAGGCTATCTACACAGATTCAGTATCCTCTCTTTGGAAAAGCTAGTAAAGATAACAATAAATATCTGTACATAAAATAGAAAATAGCTACATACTTTATAAATCTAGGTATTTGAAAGCATAAGGATATTGGTGAAATTTTCAGGTAAAAAATGAAAATGGCAGCCAGGTGTGGTGGCACATACCTATAATCCCAGTACTTTGGGAGGCTGAGGCAGGAGGAGCTTTTACAAGTTCAAGGCCAGTCTGGACAATTTAGCAATTTAGCATGAGCCTACCTCAGAACAAACAATAAAAAAAAAAAAGGTAACTCTGTACAAAGGTCCTGGGTTTAACTCTAGTACCAAAAAAAAAAAAAA